AGACGTAAGCGGTCCACTAATGCGTCAGAGGAGCACGAGGACTGTCTACAAAGGGTGAAGCTCGGACGCTGGTCACGAACCTCACCGGCCGCTCCAGGGACAGGCAAACGTAGTCTACCGGTCATCGATGGACTGTCGGAGGAAAGGTTTTGGAGTAGTAGGACGAGATGAATAGACGCGGTGACATTAAAAGGCAGTCATGAAAATGCGAGTAAACACAATTTCGAAAAACCCAAACAATCCATCAACTTGCAATCAAATGATACGAAATTTGCGGTAGCAAATTGAATTCTCTGTCGAATGCCGATGAATTGGGTAGAACGAATTCAAGAACACAAAGTTTGGAGGCAGAAATCGAGCAGCAACACCCTCCTCCCTTTGCAAGCATTGTCAACTCATGACATTTGATCTAGAAATCGTCAACCACTCTGTTAAATTACCAACAACTAATCAACTGGAACAAGTTGAGAAGAGAGTGGAATGGGACTAGTTCAATCTCATCAATTGTGAAGACGAGACAACAACTGTGACGACCTTGAGGAGGAGGACGAGGAGGATGACGTTGGCTTTGCACAGCGGGTTCGACTTGTCTTTTCCTCGAATAATCTGCAAAGGACAGCCACTTTTGATTTTTACTCTTTAGACATTTTGAGCGACTTTGTGAAGTGTTTAAGAATTATACAAAGTTGATTCTGGAACTTTAAGAAGTGCTCACCGGATCCTTCTTTTGACTGGACGGATGATTTACTCGGAATTCTTTCACCTTCACCGTTAGCACTTCTCGTGACCCCCCGCCTAAGTCTTCCATTCCACGTTGCGGTAGACGTCTGCCAATCCCATGAAGGAGGCACAGCTGTCCCTCCAACACTCCATTTTTGGCACCTTTTGTATCGCCTAATTTTTTTCTTTTAAATGTCCGCTCAACGGTTCCACGACAAACCGTGGCTTAAAGAGGAGATGGAGAGAGATCGAAAGGCTGACAAGAGCTTCCATCATGCCCCTGTCCACAAGTCCATTTTGTTGAACACGCACAAGTAGATCCCTTCGGGCTGCCTCCTACACTTCCTGTTAAGTCTACATCATGTAAACAGGTTTGTCAATGCTCAAATTGATTGCACAGTGTGATGAAAGGTCCAACTTGACCATCCTCGAACATGACGAAAAAAAAACAGGACACAAGGCGTAAATAAAGCAAATCCCCTTGGCATCGCATCATTTCTCAATCCTTCAGCCACGTACTTAGGACGTCTCTTCCCCTCCTCTCGCTCTTCTACCTCTATGATGTGGAAAATGGAAATTAAAAAGTTAAACTACGCAACATAAGTGAGGGACACTTTAATTAGGACAGAAGAAGCACAATTTTTGTTGGTGGATCCTCTAATTTGCACTGTTTGATATTGCAACTCGAGGTAAGTGGTCGAGGCGGTATTAAAAGGCAGTCAAAGTTGAGTAGACAAATTTGTGTTTGCCTCTTCATCATGCTCCATGAGACCCTTCAAGGAGGAGATGGACCGGATGGGCTGCGTGATGTCCTTCCGGTTGGAGGCGCTTTTAAGTGGAACTTCAGTCGACCAAAGAGCTGCACTTGTCGCCAAGTTTTGAAGGCTGGGCCAAACCGCTGATGGCGTCGGTAGACTTTGAAAAGGTGGAATGTTCATACAATGTAAGCTGTCTGCAACTGATTGAACTTCTTGTTCTAACAAGTCCTAAATCAACAGTTTGATTAAATGGCAATTGAAGTTACAAGAACCTCTCTCTCTCTTTCCTTTTCCTTTGTCTAAGCATTTTCTCGTGGGCTGCTGTGAAGATGGTTTGTCTAGCTAGGCTTGACTCCGCATTCCAACTGCGGTCCAAGCGCTCTTCCACCCCATCGTTGGAATTAGAATCGTCTGCCTCTCACCTATAAGGGACGTGTTAAACAACGCAGAATGAAGTTGCATTGACGACTTTTTCGGTCTGCTATATTCGTTACTCTTGTACGTAATTGAGAAGAAGGATTTTCCGGGAGGCAAGTATGGAATGCTGTATGGGGCCACCAGTGTATGTGTGCGGTCCCTGAAAATAGTCCCTGCATCTCACAAAGATAAAATTTCCCGCCTCTCTCCCGTTATAGTCGTTTAAATTCCTAAAAAAAGATCGCAGTCGTCAGTTATTAGAGCTAAATGCTTGTATTTTGAGGGAGAAGAGGGCAAGGAAAATCCCAAAGTCCCTGCCAGTCATGCAATTTGGCGAAGAAATAAGGCAAAATAGTATCAACCAGCAAAAAACACTCACTTGCCATTTAAAAGCAAATAAAGGTTGCGGTAAAAAGGTGGTTGTATTGGTAATTGTTAGGGTGCAATGTGGAAGTGCAATATTACTTACAATTCATTAGTAGCATCTGCCAACTTAGGCTTTGGATTGGTGCCTTTATAATGTACCCCTCCCCCATCTTAGCCCTGATAATTTAACAACTAAAGGCTACACCCACAAAGTTCAGTTTGGCAGTTAAAACAAAGCAACAATTTCACGCAGATCGCATGATGAAATAACCAGCTTTTTTCCATCGCTTTTGAAAACAATGTGTGCCCCACACCGCTTCGTGCTCCTCACTTTTGGTCCACAAAGGAGAAGGGTAAAATGAAATTCAAAGGCAACAATTGGATACACTCCTTTGGATAGTTTGAAATATTTTCGATGACACAGAAATTTTTTTTCTGAAGATTTGACCATTCGTCAAGAAGATAAGCGGATTGCCCTGCTTGACACTTGACATGTTCATAACCTCACCTTCGCTTGTGGGATCCTCCACACCAACCATCTTTCGTCACAAATAAGTAAAGTGGACTACTACTTCCTTCAATGACCGAGGACTTTTCAAGAGTAGCGGGTTGAAGAAGGAAATATGTTGGCTGAAAAGTAAATGCTCAAATCCCGGTGTAAGGTGGAAGAAGTGGACATCTCAACTAACTAGGACGAAAAAGTAGTCACAAGTCATCAGTTTAGAGCACACCAGTCGACAACTAAAAAACAAGAGTTTACACAGAGCACTGGCCTTGAAAAGGAGGGGGACGAGAGGAGAGATCCTCATTTCTCCAAACAATGCCCCTTGATAGGAGACACGATGATGTAATGTTAAAAATGTGTAGTGTTCCAGACCGCCCATTTCCTCCTTGCATGGCTTCGTTTTTCGGGGTAAAATTTGCATTTCCTCAAAGGAAGTAGAGCGTAACATGGATGAACGCCTTGTTTCCCGACAGGTGACAAAAAGCCATTAAGGTGATCGTTTTATCCTCGAGACAGTTGCCCTCGACAATGACAAATGCTTTGAATTTTTTCTCTCACATTTCAAAGTTTGGATGCTAAATTAACCTTAAACTTATAAATGGCGTTTTGCTAAAATCTTCCCTTTAAACTCTTTCCGTCAACTGTTTCCTCAATCGTCAAACCGTGCGAGGTCCTCCCACGTCTGTAGCATGGGAACAGGGAGGAAAATAGTGTCTCCAACGGTCCAAATAGCGGCGTCCGCAGACACCTTAAGCACAAACCGCTAGATGATTTCCCATCTCTCACCCATCGGGCACAATTTAAACAATTAATTTGTCTTAGAGACAATAGGAAGTCCGACGGCATGATCGGTGTCTGTAGGAAGTGCCAAGACTGCGTAATAAATCCCACCAATGCAACAGGAAGCAAGTTGTGGTAGCAGACCGAGGGATCAGAATGCTGCAGGACTTATTGGAGGGCCGCTCTACTACACAAAGTTCAGACTGAGCGGTTGGAGGATCTTTAACAGGTAAAAAAAGTAATATTTCTGTTGAACTGTACTTTTTTGGTTTATAAGTAGTATGTGCATGTTTATCTTAAGTAAGTGCCACGGTGGGCTACTGATACAATGGACAAACCAATCATCGCATGTCCACTCGTTGTGCTCTCCGCTCACACATCTCAACGTCAGCAACCGGAAATTTTTCCTTCATGAAACACCTTTCAGGGACCGCGAACACGACGCACTTCAGACTACAACACGGAAATGCTAGCGCTTCAAACGCCGGACAATCTGTTGGCATAGCAAGAAGTGTGGAGGGAGAAGTTTGCACACTTAGGCAGCGCCACCACCCAATGACGCTGATGAGCCGCAAGGGTTCCAAACGTTGGACAACATTCGACTTGTCCACTGATGATCTCCTAAATACCAGCCACTCGCCTAGCAAAGCCGCATGAAGAGGAAAATTTAAGGAATAAGTAGAGAGCTTAGCAATGAATTGGTGCCACAAAAATACCTCAATTGTTCTCCTAACCTTCCACAGTAGAAAAGAGGTTTTGCAGTGCTTAGGGGTTGTTGAAACAGACTGGCAAGCGCGGGAGGCGAAAGTGCATTCATGAATGCGCACTTGCGGAGGACACTGAGGTGACCCCTGGTGACCTCCTCCTGTGCTCCACCCTTTGCATTGTCTGCCCGACGCCTCATAAGGCACCCAGAAGAAGATGGACGAATCACACGGCAGTGATGATGAGGCTTAACGAGCATTTAAACTTTATTTTGCACTGAGACTCAGGTAAGAGTGTTTTAAAATTCATTTTCTTATGAAGCATACCAAAGCCTCCATGTTTTGCCTATTTACGACGAAAGAAACAGGCGTTCAAATCGACAAATGTCATTACACTTATGGAAAATGACAGTGCAGCAAAAGTACTTCACTTCAGCATTAAAATGAAAATTAAAGTTCCTAAGGGTTGGAGGAGTACGGCAATGACAACTCTTTCCACGGTGAGGATCGCTTCAGAGGTTGGACAGACGTCAGCTCTAGAAGCCATTGAGGGAGGTTAAAGGCACCTCAATCAACTTAAACTGTCCTCCTTACCATATTTATCCCTTTGTCTGTCACATCAGACCCTCATTTGATGGAAGAGAGACGACTCTGTGCAGGCACGAACATGCGTGCAACATTCCAAGACTTTCTTCATGGTGGTTGAAGCCATTAGGCGTGGCTGATTAGTTGTTTCAAAGAAAAAGGAAAGAAGTGGGAGTTTGATTTGGCCCGCAGTAAAAATTAGGTGATTATCAAAGTGTTCGCCATTCTGTGCCAACCACAAGAAAGGAAACGTTTTTACCATCCGCCTACACCATCCGCCCACAACTGGTTCGTCTAGATCCGGGGTGACATTTTCGGCCTAAAAATTGAGGATCTGAGGCAAGAACTCTTCTTCACCATCAAATGGTGAGGTGGAAAGGTGATCAAACACAATTCCTCGTTGTTTAAAGTCCACCGCATCATCATCACCGACACATACTCGCGACAGCGATAAGAGGAACTCTGAAACAAATGATTTCCAGGCGATTGTATGGCATCTTCACTTCACTTATTAAAAATTCACCATTGCAACAGGAGTCTGAGGGTGGATGCCAAATGTTGACGTCATTCTTAACTCGTCTGTTGTGTGCAAATCAAAAAGCGCGCAATTATATGTCCTTCCTTCACATTGTGGAAGTTTGTCACTCACAAGGGAGCTCAGAATGGACGTGGCAGCTAAGTTGGCTTTGCTTTCCACTGCCATCTGCGTAGCTTCCCTGGACTTTCCCCCTTGGTAGGGGAAGGCTATAAGGTGGGGCTGGGAGGGCACGAATGAAAAGGTGGAAGGAGTGGAAGTGCCACTTCGGTGGGGCCCAAAGGCAAATCTACGCTAAGAGGACCGCCGCCAACACAGGCAGTCGAATAATCAAAGTATCACAATGCATAAAAAAGAATACGTTTACTTTGTAAGAGTCCCAAAATATGCAATCTGTGGCACGTGTTAAGGACGGTGTGACGTCTTTTCCATCCTGCCTTCCTGCCTCTCACAGAGCGAGAATGAGCAGACCGATTACCTCTGGTGTCTTTTGGAGTGGACAATTAGATTTGGATTACCTCACCAATTTCTACAGTTGTACTCGATTTTACTTTTTCTTTAACTATTTCGCCTAATCTCTACACCTTCGAAATCCCTTTAGTTCTGACCACAAAGCGCATAGAGGAAGAATGCTTTTTTCCTCCATCTCATCTGATTGCACGATTTTACCCACTGTTGGGTTGGGTTGATGCAATTTCACTAATGTATTGCAATGCAAAGGCCATTTGAGGCCCTTTCAAGTCTTGCGCCCTCCTCTGTCTGGTCTGACAAAAGGGAGGTGGCAATTTCAGTGTTTAGTCATATCAATGTGTATTTTTTTACAAAGTGGAAATAAAATGGGCAGACGACGATGTTTGGAAAAATCCTATGGAAAACACCTTCTTTTAGATTTTAAGTTACGACACTTTAAGACAAAATCAGGGTCAAGTGACCGCCCTTAAAAA